CCTAATCCACAATATTCATGGTTGGCAATACTCGTGTCCTTGTTGTTTGAGTGCACTCTCCCTAAATTATAGAAAAACCATCCTTACAAAATATCTTCAACTTTAACAAATCCTCACAAGAAACATATCCCTAGATTTAAAATCCAGAATATATAAGTTTCATTTCATTAACCTGCCTTGAAATTTCTCTCTATCACAGAAAGAAAACCACTGAAAAATCTGAAGTAAACTTCTTACGGGAGACTTTAGACATAAAAAAGTAAACCAATGGAAACCTCTGCATGGTCAATGAAATTATCCCAATTAAATTAATCAAATTACCCTAACACAACACTTCCTATGAACCCTAACACAACACTTCCTATGAAATTAACATACTTCAATCAACAATAAGTAATTAAAAGTTTAAAACAAAAGAATTTAACCCGTAAAAATAAGAAATTTAGTGAGGTCCAAGTTTGGTTTATATAATTGACACCAACTAACATATTGTGGTAATAGACGACAGAATTGACGGCCCTTTATATCTTTTTATATAGACCTTTCGAATACCAATACAATGCTTATTTATTTTGCTGAATATAAAGAGACTAACTTCAATCTTTAAATCTTTTTATTTAGACATTTGGAATCCCAATGCAATGCACTTATATAAAAATCCAACATGTCAAGATGAGCAATTATGGAGGTCATTAAACCACACATCCAACGTGTCAAAATAGAGAATTTCTAGAGCTGCTTCTCAAATCCTATGTGCCAATCAACTAGGCAAGGGCTTCAAGATTATATAGATATATAGATGTTGTTTCACCATCACTCTATTATCTATTTGTTTTATGATTTTAAACTATTTTTCAAACATTAAAATTATATAAGTTTAATAATTTCCCCTTGAGATTTCCTTAATATATATATATATATTTTTAATTAGGGTGTTTGAGTTAGCTTGTGCGCACCTCAACTAATCCCCGAGGTTCATTGAACACCCACAACCTACAAGTCTAACGGGTCAAGTAAGTCACAAATGTGGTAGGTGGCCACTTTATAAGATTCAAACACAAGATATTTGGGTAACCCACCCAGATAACTAAAGTCTTGCCATCTGGCCAAAAGCAAGTGGTTATTAAAATCAGAAATAACAATTTGCCCCATTGCCATTGTTTTATTTGGATTTTCATTTAAGTGATTTGTCCATCTATAGTTAATCCGTTAAATTAAATACCTAAACCTTAAAAGAATACTAACGTTAGGGAGTAAATTGATATTTGTAACGCCCCGCTTAAGGTACGTAGTAAATTATGTTGTATGCTTGAATGTTTGTTGATGTGTTATCTTTTGAGCTTGCATGTTGTTATTTTTGGTTGGTTGGCCCTTGGTTGGATTGATGAGTTGGTTTGGTTGAGTGTTTGCCTTGATTTTGGTTAAGTCTTGGCGAATTTTGGAATTTTGGTCTTCGCCAGGGTGAAGAATAGTCTTCGCCGCGGCAACGTTGGCTCTGTAATTTTTCGCCAGGTGACGGAAAAGCTTCGCCACGGCGACGGACCGCTTGAATTGTGTAGTGAAGTTTCTAGAGGATTTTTCCATAGGGGCAAAATGACCTTTCTATCCTTAATTAGCAGGAAAAGTGGGGAGTGAAATGTAAGAGAATTTCATGGAAAATGTGTTGGAGTTGGGGGTGTGAGTGTAAGGAATTAAAGGACAAAGATGAAATTTCTAAGAAAGAGCAAGGGCAAAATGGAAGGCATGTGTTAATTGTAAGCTAATAAGGGTTTGGGTTTAGAAAACCCTTCATTCCTCTTCTCCACCGCCATTCCCATTCATCACCTCCTCTCAACTCTTCTTTCAAGATTTCAAGGATTTTAGAGAGTTTTTGAGTAGTTTGGGGTAGAAAATTAATCTAAAGCATCATAAGGTAAGGATTCTTGCTTTAGATGTGAAATTTTGCTTGTTTATGTATCTTCAAGTCTTATTATTTTATTGTGTAAAGTTGTGGAGAAGGGACAAGTTACTAAAGGAAAGGAAAGTGCTAGTGAGATCTCTCCATTACAAGGTAAGTAAATCCAACCAAGTTGAGATTTGAGAAATCTTTTGTGTAGAGATTTCTTTATGCATGTATGTATTATGCATGTATGTATTATGTTATGTTATTGAGAAATGAGATGGAGATGAATAATTGCTTTGTGGTTGTTAAATACACTTCAATTATGAGAAGTGTGATGTGTGATGAGAATGTAGTTTGAGATGAAATTGCAGGAGATTGAGAAATCTCTTTGGAAGCGTTATGTTATGACAAGAATTATAGCTTTGTGAGGGAGTTTCCTCCCTTTTTGGATGGTTCAAGAGAGGAGTAGAACTATAGATAAAGTAGAGTTTATGTATGCACATTAGTTGTTTGATGAAATGCCTAAGAGAATCATGAGCATGAGTAATAAACCTTAATTCTTGCAACATTGCATGTTGGCATTTCATGAGTGCATTAGTGGAGATGAACCATCCATATGCATTAATTGGGCATTGAGAAGTGGCTTGAGAAAGAGTAGAGAACTGTGTGAATGAGCTACTCTAAGAGTAGAGAGAATGAGAAGAGCACTAAAAGCGGGTTGGTACTTTTTGATCTCCACCCGGTAGTCATTAAGGGCGGGTTGGTGCTTTGTGATCTCCAACCGGCAGTTACTAAGGGCGGGTCGGTGCTTTGTGATCTCCACCCGGTAGTCATTAAGAGCGGGTTGGTGCTTTGTGAACTCCACCCGACAGTCACGAAGAGTGGAATGGTGCTTTGTGAACTCCACCCAACCGTGCCTCCGGTAAGATGAGGCCGTGACATCAAGTGAAAAGGAATGAGTAAACATGAGAAAGAACAAATAGAGAACGAGTAAAGTCACGAAGAGTGGGTTGGTGCTATGTGAACTCCACGCGGCCGTGCCTCCGGTAAGATGAGGCCGTGACATATAGCAGAAGTTAATAAAAGAAAGCTGTGTGAAAGAGAAACAGAAACAGAAAAGTGTGAGGAAAGAATTAAGAGAAAGAGTTACGGGGACAGACGAGTAAAGGATTTACTTACTGAGCATTATTTTGTGCTCACCTTGTTGTTTTCTTTATGGTTGTAGGATCTTGGTGAGGATGTAGTCAGATGGGCGTCGGCAAGTGGGGAGCAATAGCTATATTGTCCACTGTTTTTGAATGGCATTTTGTAAATGATACTCTCTTTTGTACAAAGAATGATCATATGTAATAAAAAGAAAATTTTGGGCCCATTTACTTTTATTATAATACATGTATTTTACTAGTATACAACAGTTATTACAATATTTACAACTTGAGGGGAGAAAATGTTATTAGAAAAAAATTTGGAGAAAATATTAACCTCAAATTATATTTGAAAAATAGTTTTAAAAATATTCAATCCATTTTGATTAATCATAGTTCTTAAACTTTCTTACATCTTTGTTTCCAGAAACAGAACACAATTTAAATTTTATGTTGAAGAAGCTTCTGATTCTTAATCTATATTAGATACCGAGAAATGTGGGTGTCCTTAATAACTAGGTGAAGTGAACTCAGACCAATCATTTATAAATCACGAACTAAAATATAAGCCCAACTAAAGCCCAAAAAATAGATAAATATAAAAACTCGGGCCGGGCCAAATAGAATTCTGGTGAATATCCAACCCAAAGCGAAAAGAGTCCTCAACGCACTTGGCTCTTGTCGTCGCTCTCTACAAAACCCTAGCTCGCTTCTCTCATCTCTCTCTCTCTTTTAACTCGCACAAACAAAAAAATGCTCACACTCATAGGTCCTTCTCTCTCTTTCTCTTTTCCCATCCAATTCTCAATATTTAATTCTTCACAAAAGAGAATTGTGAAATATTTTGCAATTTTTTTTAGTTCGTTAGTTAGTTGGATTTGATTTGCTGTTTTGTGATGTTTGTGTGTGCAGATCTCAAATTTGAACGGAACTTTTCTTCGTTAAGCCATGGCTCTGGTGAGGTTCTACGCGACTTTGCTCAATTTTTATGTGTTCTTTGTAAAATATAAGCTTAAAGGATTAGACTTAGATTGAAACTAGACCAAAGTGAAAGTATTTCTATTTGTTAATAATTGAGTGTAAATTGTGAAAACAGATTCATATGTGTAATGTTGTTCGTTTAATGTGTTTCATTTCATTGATTGAATGTTGGATCGGATTGGATTAAGAGTGAGTATTGAAATATATCAATGCATAGAATGATTTTATTAAGAACTGTGCAGTTAAAAGCTTTGGAGGAGACCATGTAGGCTTTGAAAATACCATTAATTGTGATTTTTGTTTTGATATTTATGCATGCAAATAGGCTTATTTTCTGATACTGTTGTATCGGGTTAGACCATGGCTAAAAAAATTGTATAGATCAATAATAATTAATTTCAAAGTAGGTAAAGTGATTTGGAAATATTTATTTGAACTATCAACCAATTATTTGTAGGTTTAGATTTTCAGAATGTGTTTTGTTGCATAGTTGCACATTGAAAAGAGAAAGGAAACCTCATTTTCCTATTTGATTCACTCTGCAGGTCTTGCATGGTTTGAAAGGACACAAAAGTCCATTCAAGGCACTCATTGTTGCAGAGTACAATGGTGTGCAAGTCAAATTGGTCGATAATTTTAAGTTGGGTGTCACAAATAAGAGCCCTGAGTTTCTCAAATTGAACCCAATTGGGAAGGTAATGTGTAGATTACAGTGTATAGTTGCTGTAGACAATGGGTTTTGTGAATTTCCTGATTTTGTTTTAACCTTTGAGTAATGATATTTGATTTTCAAGTTCCTGTGTTGGAGACTCCTGATGGTCCTGTATTTGAGAGCAATGCCATAGCACGTTATGGTTAGACCTCTCTCATTCACTCCTTTTCAGTTTCTCTGCTGTAATGCTTGTAATGCATATTCTATTGCTATTGCAAAATTTAGTTTTCTGACTTTAGATCTGTGTTGTACTTGTTTTTATAGATGAAGTGAAATCTCATTTTTATTTCCAGGATTGACTCTTTTTGTTTTTGCTCTCTGACTTGATTTGTTTTTCAACAGGTCTACCCAAGTTCCATTTCTATTGAAGGAACATTGGGAAATTTCAGACTTCGTGATATGTCTCTTGGTGCAGATCACTGTTGGGGTTGGCTTTGTGATATACGCAATCCTGGGGTTGAATCCCTTATCAAGGTAAATTTGTCAATTTTTTGATGGCCAGTTGATGTGGAAGGATTAAAGATTTTTTAAACTATTTGAGCTTTGCCGTGCTAATGCAGTTTTGAACAAATTGAACTCTAGCTTTATTATAGGGACATTCAATTATCGGGTTTGAACTCAAACAATGTAGTGTTTGTCTTGATGCTTGTTGATGAGCAACCAAGGGGAAAGGTTTACCGTAGGAAGAAGTGGGGTAAGAAGCAGGGGAATAATTGACAATTAGGAGGTTAGAAGAATTTGTTATGAAGGGACAGGTGGCCTGAGGAGATTGGAGAGAGGAGAAATTCTGTTAGGAGTAAACGTAGGTGCCAGGAGGGAATAAAAGGGGAAGAAGGGAAAAGGGAGAGGCATTGAAGAAGTTGATTAAGGAAGGGGAGGTTACTGACCCTCGAAGTCAGTATTATCGTTTTGTTTTCTCTTTTATACTTAGCTTATTTGTTGGTTTCTCAATTGTGGAATATTGTAACAGGGTCTGGATATATTTTCGGATGTACTGTTTTGCTGCTGTTAATATAGAGATTCCTTGTTTTGATTGTGATTTGGATTGGAACTGTAGCTAGATTGTTGTGTATTTGATAAGTTGCAGGTCAGGATCTCATCAAGTGGTATCAGAGCACTGAGTTCTGGGTTATGGTCTTGACAAGAATGGAGTCCAGAATTGATAACGTGGAAAAAGAAGTTACGAAGTTAGGATTTGAGATGGGTACCATTTGAGAATGTTTGGTTGAGATACAGTCATGGGTGCGAAGAAAGGATGAGGAAGAAGCAGGGAGAACTGAGATGCGTTCATCGGAGAATCTTCGGTCCTAGCAAGAAGAAAATACAAATGGAGCAAGTGGGTCTGGCAACAGTAACCAAAACCATAATGAAGTGACAGGAAGAAAGTTGGAAATGTCGATATTTTCCTGTGAAGATCCTTACGGATGGATCTTTAGAGTAGAGCGCTACTTCCACCTCAATGGAATTACTGAGGAAGGAAAATTGACAGCAGCAGTTGTCTGTATGGAGGGTGAAGCTATTAATTGGTTCCAGTGGATGGAATCCAGAGCTCCGGCAAGTTCATGGGCTATGTTTAAACTGGCACTACTTCAAAGATTTATTAGATCTCAAGAGCTTAACCCGTACGAGTCATTAATGGCATGAAGCAGACTGGTTTAGTTATGGAGTTTTGACGTCAATTTGAAGCTGTCGTGGCACTGCTGGTAGGGGAGAAGGAAGAGATACTGCAAGCAGCATTTATCAATGGGTTAAAAATTGAACTAAGGGCTGAAGTCCGTTTAGCCCAGCCCACAACATTAATGCAAATAATAGACCTGGCCCAACGAATTGAAGAAAGGAATCAAGCAATAGAGGAGGCCCAAATGGGAACAATTAAACCCACACACATTATGGGGCTTGGACCTTCAAATGGACCCAGACCCACGACCCGAGTGGATAGCCCTAACTTGACCCGATTTGAAAGTAGCTCAAACCCAAAATTCCCTAACACGAACAGATTCAAAAATCATCTAAACCCAAAATTCCCTAACACGTCTGAATCCTTAAAATCACACCAATCTTCCAACTTCATTCGACGCTCACCGGAAACCTCAGTACAAGGCTCATCGGCGCAGTTCCCTAGTCGCGACTTCAACCCATCGTCTTTTCGCCCCTATGAACGACCAAACTTCCAGAGAAGAGACTTCCTATTTCGAAAAATGACAGACGCAGAGATCCAAAGGAAAAAAGAGAAAGGTCTTTGCTTTAGATGTGATGGTAAGTTTTCGTTTGGGCACAAATGTGGTGAGAAGCAATTTCAAATCATTTTAGTGGATGAAGAGGAGGATGATTCAGACCCGATTGGTGGTGGGGAGTCTGTGGAATCTGAAATGGAGCAACGGCAGGAATAAGTTGAGCTTTCTCTGAGCTTGGTGGTGGGGATTCATGGCCCAAAAACAATGAAACTCAAGGGAAGAATCCAAGGTAAGGAACTAATTGTGTTGATTGATAGTGGGGCTTCCCACAATTTTATTAGTTCAAAGGTGGTTGCAGGCTTGGGAATTTCTGTGATGGGAACTCAATCTTTTGGGGTCAGAGTAGGTGATGGTTATAGCGTGAGATGTGAAGGGGAATGTAGAAATGTTTGTATAGAGCTACAAGGGATAACGATTATTCATAATTTTTTTCCATTTGATATGAGCAGTGTAGATGTTGTTCTGGGAATCGCATGGTTGGAAACGTTAGGGGAGACCACCACAGACTGGAGGAAGCAGATCATGAGATTTAAGCTGGACGATCAGATTGTATGTCTGCGTGGGGACCCATCTCTGAATAAGACCATGGTTTCGTTCAAGGCTATGATCAAGGCATTACGGAGTGAGGGACAAGGGTGTTTGATAGAGTTCGGTCAGATTCAAAAACAGTGTGATGACAGTGGGGATGTGATGATCAGGTGCTGAAGGTGTTACAGATATTTAGTCGGGTGTTCGAGCCACTTTTGGGGTTACCACCTGCCGGGTCCAGAGACCATGCCATTCAGTTAGTTCCAGGGGCTCAACCACCAAAGTTGCGGTCGTATCGGTACCCTTACTATCAAAAGAACGAAATCGAACATCTCGTCAAGGAAATGTCAGCGTCAGGAATTATTAAACCCAGTATCAGCCCCTTCTCGAGCCCAGTTTTGTTGGTTAAAAAAAAGATGGTGGGTGGAGATTCTGTGTGGATTATAGGGCAGTTAACTAGGTGACCATTCCGGACAAGTTCCCCATTCCAGCCATTGATGAATTATTTGATGAATTGGCAGGCGCGACAGTGTTTTCGAAACTTGATTTGAAGTCCGGTTATCACCAAATCTGAGTGAAACTAGAGGATACACACAAAACTGTATTTAGGACACATGAGGGGCACTATAAGTTTGTGGTAATGCCATTCGGCCTCACCAATGCACCAGCTACTTTCCAAGCAGTGATGAATGACGTGTTCAAACCGTATTTACGAAAATTTCTGCTGGTTTTCTTTAATGATATACTCATATATAGTAAAGAGATGGGCGACCATGTGAAGCACCTCAGCCTTACTCTACAGATCCTCTTAGACAATCAATTGGTGGTCAATAAAAAAAAAAATGTAAGTTTGGGCAGTCACAGTTGGAATACTTGGGGCATGTGGTCTCAGCTCAAGGTGTCTCGGTTGATCCTTCTAAGATTGAGAGTATCATCAAATGGCCGGAACCGAGAGACATCAGGGCACTCAGAGGGTTTTTGGGATTGACGGGGTGTTACCGTCGATTCGTTCAAGATTACGAAAAAATTACCTTGCCACTCACTGCCCTATTAAAGAAAGATTCGTTTGTGTGGAATACAGCAGCTAAGGGGCTTTTGAGGAATTAAAACGAGTCATGACCAGTGTTCTTGTTCTTCGGATGCCTAACTTTACGCAAGAATTTGTCTTGGAGACCAATGCTTCCGGAAGTGGATTAGGGGCTGTGCTGATGCAAGAAGGACATCCGATTGCTTTCCTTAGCAAAGGTTTGTTTTTAAACTCTAAGTTGAAGTCAGTTTATGAAAGGGAATTAATGGCGATTGTACTGGCTGTGCAAAAGTGGCGGCATTACTTGTTGTGTAGACGTTTTATGATTCGGACGGACCAACGTAGTCTTCACTTCCTCACTGAGCAGAAATTACTGAGTGAAAATCAGCAACAATGGGTTATCAAATTGTTGGGGTTAGACTTCATCATTCAGTATAAACCAGGTGCTCAGAACAAGGCAGTAGATGCCCTTTCGCGGATGCCAGACACGGTAGACCTTCATGCTGTTTCTGTGAGTTACTTTTCGGGACTAGAGTGTTTGGAAGATGCCATTCAAGGTGATGATAAGTTACAGGGTATAATACAGCAGCTCCTAATAGACCCCAATAGTCATCATCCTTTTAGGTTACTGGGCCGCCATCTGCTATACCATAACAGATTGGTACTGCCGAAATTTGGACCTCACATCCATAAAATTTTACAAGAATTTCATGCATCGCCCATCGAGGGCCATTCGGGATTCTTCCGGACATATAAGCGGCTAACAAGTGTGGTATTTTGGGAAGGAATGAAGCATGATATCAAAGAATTTGTGGCCGCTTGCCTGGTTTGCCAACAAAATAAGTATGATGGCATGAGTCCAGCGGGTTTGCTTCAGTCGCTGCCGATTCCTAACCAAGTGTGGGAAGACATATCTATGGATTTCATCATGGGGCTCCCGAAAGCTAATGGGGTTGATACCATTTTGGTCGTAGTGGATTGTTTGACTAAATATAGTCACTTTTTAACCCTCAAACATCCCTACACAGCCAAGATAGTCGCTGATTTGTTTATCAAAGAGGTGGTTCGCCTACATGGGTTTCCTCGTACTATTGTCTCCGATCGAGATAGATTCTTCATGAGCAGCTTTTGGAGTGAACTGTTTAAACAATCAACGACCCAATTACACATGACTTCGGCATACCACCCACAGACAGACAGTCAGACAAAGGTAGTAAACCGTTGCTTGGAAACGTATCTCAAATGTTTTGTCAATGGTCAACACCGATCATGGCCAAAATGGGTTCTATGGGCAGAATTTTGGTTCAACACTACGTATAACCGCTCCACCGGCATGTGTCCTTTTAAGGCTCTCTATGGCCGAGAAACCCCAATAGTGTTGCGTTATTCAGACCACACTTCCGTTGTCAATGAAGTTGACTAGCAACTCCAGCAGCGTAACCAGGTTCTTGACGAGTTAAAAGACTATCTCATCAAGGCCCAACATCGCATGAAGACTGCCGCGGACATTCATCGTTGAGAAGTTACATTTGAGGTAGGGGAATCTGTGTATTTAAAGTTATAGCCATACCGATTACGGTCCCTAGCCCGTCGATATAATGAGAAGCTCAATCCGCGGTTTTATGGTCCATTTGTCATCATAGAAAAAATTGGGGCAGTTGCATATAGGCTGGCACTCCCATCCTCAGCACGTATTCATGATGTCTTTCATGTTTCGCAGCTAAAAAAGGCTACGTTCCCTATAACCAATAGTCAGCCTTTGCTAGTAGGCCTCAATGAAGACCTCATTCTACAACTTGAACCTGAAGCTGTTCTTCAGAAAAGGAAACTCCTAAATGGACAGTGGGAGGTGCTGATTCAATGGAAAGGTTTACCTTCCTTTGAAAACACTTGGGAAGATTTTGAAACTATTCTCAACCAGTTTCCTTCCTTCCACCTTGAGGACAAGGTGGTTCTACTTGGGGAGGGTAACGATGAGCAACCAAGGGGAAAGGTTTACCGTAGGAAGAAGTAGGGTAAGAAGAAGGGGAATAATTGACAATTAGGAGGTTAGAAGAATTTGTTATGAAGGGACAGGTGGCCTGAGGAGATTGGAGAGAGGAGAAATTCTGTTAGAAGTAAACGTAGGTGCCAGGAGGGAATAAAAGGGGAAGAAGGGAAAAGAGAAAGGCATTGAAGAAGTTGATTAAGAATGGGAAGGGGAGGTTACTGACCCTCGAAGTCAGTATTATCATTTTGTTTTCTCTTTTATACTTAGCTTATTTATTGGATTCTCAATTGTGGAATATTGTAACAGGGTCTGGATATATTTTCGGATGTACTGTTTTGCTACTGTTAATATAGAGATTCCTTGTTTTGATTGTGATTTGGATTGGAACTGTAGCTAGATTGTTGTGTATTTGATAAGTTGCAGGTCAGGATCTCATCACTTGTTAAGAATATCAAGTTATATACTCCATCCTTCTGAAATTGTTTGACCCTTAGAGAAATATAACTTTCTAAGGGAATTCATATATTGCGTTTCCGCAGATCCTTCTGAAATTGTTTGACCCTTTTAGAAATATAATTTTCTAAGACAATTCATATATTGCATTTCCGCAGATCTTAATTGGTGTTGATTTTTGCCGTTAGATGAATGTTTTGTAAATTAAAAAAAAAAAAAAAAAAGAAAGACAGTGAGGCAAATTTAGTATACATATAAGATATCATGCTTTGACTTCAAAAGTGAGTAAACAATTTGGAACCGAGGGAGTGTACATATGTATACACACACATATTTTAATAATATTATACATAGTATTTGTAGATAAAATAATTATGTTTTATTTATGGATGCTTGAGTTTACGTTTGAAGTTTACTTACATTATTTCAATACAAGCTTGATAATAATTTTTGATGCTCTATTGAACTTGATATGCTTGGGCTCGACTTGTTTGAATCATTAGATGCAAACTTCTTATATCTTATATAGTTGTTTGCCTTTCTATTGTACTTTGACATGTCCTTTATCTCTTTTCTTTTTCTTTCAGTTCAAATTTGACTCTTATAATGCTGAAGATGACGATTATGACGGATATGACTACAGCTTGTCTGGTCGGCTTTCAGGTGTTCGCATTGTTTTCCTCTATAGGTTTGTCCAGGAGGTATGTAAGCAGACAACTTGTAAATATTTTAACTAGCATCAAAGAAAAATCTATGCTACTCTGTTGGGTCGTGGGGAATGGAGAGAGAGAGAGAGAGAGCTGCTGTTAGGCTTTTTGAATAACAGTCAACTATCTAAACAACATGGTTAATAGTTTATGTTTTCTAATTATTTTAATTCTCTAATGATTGCTCAACTGATATATGCAGTTTGAGTTGTTTCTTATTTTTAAATGGTTTCTTGTAATTTTAAGATTTGGTGTTTTGACTGCTGGAGCTTAAATACTACTGATTACTTTTCTTGTATCTTTTGTTTACTTAAAACTGAGTTTATGACTAACTTGGTTGAAACATACTTCTCCAGATATCTGCTTACTTCATGGAACTTGCTACCCCACATTCTGAAGAAGTTATAAAACTTGTTGATAAAGTTGGAGGCTTTGAGTGGTTAATTAAAAAATATGAGATGGATGGAGCTACTGCATTGAAGCTGGACCTCTCGCTTGACACTCCTATAATTATTGTTCCTAGGAATTCATTGAGCAAAGAGTTAGTGCATTTGCCCTCTGATTCTTATTATATGATGCAATTCTTTTTTTTTTTTTTAAAAAAAAATAAGAAACTGAAAATTATAGATGATACCTATTTGATTGTCTTAGAATTTCACAGTTTCACTTCTTAGCAATAACTCTTCCTACAGATCTTGCAGATAAAGACATTTTTACGTCTTGAAAACTTGAAACTTCCAAAGAAGCTTTACTTGATTTTATTAACTTCAAGCTAATTTCTTCTTGTTTACTGTATAATAACCTCTTCTATCTTGTGTCAAGTAAATAATTAGATACAAAGTAATAATTGGAATTTGCAGCAAACTTTAATGGATGTGTATATCTGATATGGATATAAATAATTCGCATGTTTTTTTACATCTGCTTTTACTTCTTGCACTTTATTGTAGAAAACCTTCTTATCTAATATCCAGTTTCCTCCATTGATTGGTGTTCATTATTTTCCCCTGGTCAAGTAACAATCCTCCCTCTAATTCAATGTAATGATGATTGGTCTTCCTTTCTTCAAAACAAATAGGTTCATTTATTTGACCTCAGTGGTAGGCTTCTGATACGACCCCTACTACTCGTGTTTACAAAAGGAACAAGAAGGCCAGTCAGTGGGTGCGCGCAATGGGGAGTTAGTTATCCACGTGGCAGGAAACATGCTTTGGGCGTGACGTTGCAGATATAAATTGGGGAATTTCAATTGTAAAAGCATGTCAATATTTGAGTATGATTTTGGGAGGAACTAGCCCCTCGAAGAGCTAGATATCGTTGTGTTTACCATACTGGGTTTTTATACCTTTTCTTTACTGTAATTTCTGTTCTAGTCAAGCAATCAATACAACAATATTTCTATAAGCATTGTTATATTTCTTTTCTGTTTGGAGTTTGAACATTGTGGTTGAGTGCCGAATTACAATCCATTGAGGGTGTTGCGTTGAGGGCCCAGGTTCTCAACAAATTGGTATCAGAGCAGGTGGGTTATGGTGAATAGAATAATGGAGGTGAGAATGGAAGGGATTGAGAGAGAAGTGGGGAGTGTTAAGGAAGATATCAGTGGAGTTAAGGAGGACGTCGGTAACATCAAGGAATACCTACTGGAGTTAAGGGAATGGATTAGGATGAAGGATGAGAAAGAGGGAAGTGTGAACCCAGGAAAAGAGAAGGGAGAGTTGTCCGAGATCTAAGCAAATCGAGACGATCGTAACCAGAGTTCATCAAAATCAAACGAGGGAGGTGGAGGGGAAGATCGGAGAGTGAGGAAATTGGAACTACATGTGTTTAACGGAGAGGATCCTCATGGGTGGATCTTCAGAGGCGATAGGTATTTTCAGATCAACAAGTTTGATGAAGGGGAAAAACTGGAAGCCGCGGCAGTGTGCACGGAGGGGTGCCCCTTGAACTGGTTCCAATGGGTGGATTCTCGGGTTCCGTTTATAGACCAGCGCACCTACAAGAAAGCGCTGATTAAGCAATTTTGACCCTCGTACAAGGGGTCAGCTTTTGAATCATTGGTGACGTTGAAACAAACCACCACCGTGACCGACTACCGAGAGCAGTTTGAGCTGCTGGTTGCACCCATGCAGCAGGTTGAAGAAGAGCTCTTAATGGGCACTTTTATCAGTGGGCTGAAAGAAGAGATACGGGCTGAATTGAGGTTAGCCAGGCCCAAAAACCTTTTTGAACTAATGGACCAAGCCCATAGGATTGAGGAAAGGAATTGGGTGTTAGACAAAAATAAATGGAAAGTGGGCCGAGCCCAATGGACCAATAAGGGAGGGGAATACACTAGATTCGCACCAGGCCCAGAACCACTTAAAATTGGGTGGGTACCCAACTCCTTCAAACCTTTAGATCGCATCCTACCATTTCAAATGAAAAATGGAAAACAGGAGAGGGGGCATGAGTTAACGGCGACGATCTCCAAAGACAACCATTTCCGGCGACTTACCGATGTAGAGCTATAGTACAAGAGGGAGAGAGGGCTTTGTTACAAGTGCGATGAGAAGTTCGGGCCAGCTCACCGATGCAAAAATCGCACCCTCCAGGTTTTGTTAGTCACGGATGCAGAGGAAGAACAGAGGGAAGCTGAAACAATGGTGATAACTGAAGAAGAAAGTCATACCGAAGAAGATCTGGTAGCTCTATCTATGCACTCTATAGTGGGTTTGATGTCATCCACCACTCTGAAGCTTCGGGGAGATTTGCAAGGCTCTGAAGTCATCGTGATGGTAGACAGCGGGGCTTCACACAACTTCATCTCTCACGATCTAGTTCGACAGCTAGGTTTAAGGGTACAAGAAACATGGGCTTTTGTGTTATGGTTGGGAATGGGTATACAATGCAGAGTATAGGGGTGTGTAAGGGGTTAGAGTTAGTCATGCCAAGACTTACAGTGGTACAGGATTTTTTTCCTTTTGATTTGGGAGGGGCTGACGTTGTACTCGGGGTTACTTGGTTAAGTACGTTAGGCGATGTTTGTGCAAATTGGAAGTGTCTTACCATGAAGTTCGAGGTGGAAGGGAAACCGGTAGTACTCAGGGGTGATCCGTCATTGGTGAAAGCTGTTGTGTCATTAAAGGCTATGCAGAAGTCGTTACACCAAGAGGACTAGGGGTTTATGGTGGAGTTTTGCTCCATTGTACAGCAGGGGGTTGAGGAAGTAATGATCGTGAACCCTGGAGTTGAAACTCTCTTAACTGAATTTGCACCCATTTTCGATCAACCCGCGAGACTTCCTCCACTTAGGCGTCAGGACCATTCAATCATCTTGAAGGATGGGGTCTCCATTCCGAATATCCAGCCTTATCGTTATTCATATACTCAGAAAAATGAAATTGAAAGGTTAGTTGGGGAAATGTTGGCCGCCGACATTATTCAGCCTAGTATTAGTCCTTTCTCTAGTCTGGTGTAGTTAGTTCGGAAGAAAGACAACAGCTGGCGTTTCTATGTGGATTACAGGGCCTTGAACGACATCACAGTGCCCGATAAATTCCCAATACCTGCCATCGACGAACTGCTGGATGAATTGGGAAATGCCGCCATATTCTCTAAATTGGATCTCAAATCGGGATATCATCAGATTCGGGTTTGTGAGATAGATGTCCCTAAAACAGCCTTTGGGACACACGAAAGGCATTACAAATTCTTAGTGATGCCTTTCGGGTTGACTAATGCACCATCAACCTTCCAAGCTCTTATGAATGACATCTTCAGGCCATTTCTCCGCAAATTTGTGTTGGTATTTTTTGATGATATATTAATTCACAGTCCTAACTTTTCTGTTCATCTCCTGCAATTGCGCCAGGTTTTTTAAATTTTCTGACAGCATAAGTTAGTGGTCAATAAAAAGAAATGCCAGTTCGCTTAAGCTAAACTGGAATATTTGGGCCACATCATATCCGGAAACGGCATCGAAGCTGATCTTGCTAAGATTGACTGCATGTTGTCTTGGCCTATTCCAACGACAGTGAAGAGTTTACGTGGCTTCCTGGGTCTTACCGGATACTACAGAAAATTTGTTCAGAATTATGGTTAGATCGCCCAGCCATTAACACAATTACTGAAGAAAGACTCCTTCAAATAGAACCTTGCGGCATAGCAGGCTTTCGAGTCTTTGCAGCAAGCGATGGTTTTGGTTCCAGTGTTGGCTACTCCCAATTTTAATGAGCCTTTTGAAATACAGACTGACGCATCCGGCGTCGGTATGGGAGCTGTCTTGGTGCAACACGGACGCCCCATTGCTTTTCTCAGTAAAGCCTTTTCTTCCTCTACCAGACAAAAATCCGTATACGAGAGGGAGCTCATGGCTATTGTGTTTGCATTACATAAATGGAGCCACTACCTGATCGGCAGCAAATTCATCGTTAAGACAGACCAGCGGAGTTTACAGTTCTTGACAAGACAAAGGCCAATCACTCCGGAACAGCATAAATGGATTTCAAAGTTACTCGGGTATAAGTTTGAGATTCAGTACAACCCAGGCAGCTCTAACAAAGTAGCAGATGCTCTCTCTCAACGTGAATCTGAACCTAAATTGCATGCCTTATCTACAGTTATTTTTCCTGGATATGAAGACTTGGCCTCTGAAGCCTTCCAAGATGCTAAACTCAAACAGATTATACAAGACCTCATTGCAAAGCCTACTTCTCGAGCTCACTATACATTACATCGTGGCTGTCTCTTGTACAAAGGCCGGTTGGTTCTCCCAAAACATCTAAATTCGTTCCCCGAATACTGGAGGAATTCCACAGCACACCCAGCGGCGGCCATTCCAGTTTTTTTTTTTTTTGCATATATAAACGAATTTCTGGTGTTATTTTCTGGGAGGGAATCAAGCAAGATATCAAGGAGTTTGTCAATGCATGTGGGGTGTGTCAGCAAAACAAACACCTATCCTTAAAACCTGTCGGGTTGCTACAGCCCTTACCAATTCCAGATTTGGCTTTCGATGACCTCTCCATGGATTTCATTGACACCATCCTGGTGGTTATGGACCGATTGACGAAGTACAGTCATTTTATGCTATTGTGTCATCCTTATACGGCAACTGAAGTTGCGGCCCTATTTGTAACGGAAGTGGTCCACTTGCATGGCTTTCCTAAGTCTATTGTTTCTGACCGGGACTGTCTATTCTTGAGTAAATTTTGGACAGAATTGTTTCGCTTGGCAGGTACCACTCTCAAATTCAGCTCCGCATACCACCCCCAAACGGATGGTCAAACAGAGGTGGTTAATCATTGTATCGAGACCTATCTTTGTTGTTTCACAAGAAACAAACCCAAGCAGTGGCCGAAATGGATTCATTGGGCTGAATTTTGGTTTAACACGTCCTACCGCAACTCTACCAAAATGTCCCCTTTCCAAGCTCTTTATGGTCGGCCCCTTCCCACACTCTTGAAATTTACAGAGGTCCATTCCTCGGTGGAGACAGTTAATCAACAAATGATCAACCGAAATGCACTGTTGGATGAATTGAAAGCCAATCTCACTGCCGCACAGGACCGTATGCACACCCAAGCCAATGCTCATCGCCGGGATGTGTCTTTTGATCCAGGTGATTTTGTTTACTTGAAACTTCAACCTTATAAATTTCGCTCCTTGGCTCTCAAGCTCAATGAAAAACTCAGCCCTTGCTTTTACGAATCCTTTCAAATTCTGGAAAAGATTGGTGCTGTAGCCTATCGCCTCGCCTTACCTAACACTTCCGGGATTCACCCAGTCTTCCATGTTTCTCAATTGAAGCGGAGCCTTCATCCTTCTGTCCCAGTTCAACCCCTGCCGGACTGCCTTACTGATGAATTAGAGCTGATGGTCCAGCCTGCTGCCGTACGTTTTGTTCGAACCTTGCTGGATGGCTCTCGCGAGGTCTTAATCCACTGGAAGGATTTACCTTCTCATGAGGCCACATGGGAATCCTTTGACATTATTGATCGGCAGTTCCCTCACTTCCACCTTGAGGACAAGGTGAGTCTTTTTGGGGAGTTAGTTATCCACGTGGCAGGAAACATGCTTTGGGCGTGACGTTGCAGATATAAATTGGGGAATTTCAATTGTAAAAGCATGTCAATATTTGAGTATGAATTTGGGAGGAACTAGCCCCTCGAAGAGCTAGATATCGTTGTGTTTACCATACTGGGTTTTTATACCTTTTCTTTACTGTAATTTATGTTCCAGTCAAGCAATCAATACAGCAATATTTCTATAAGCATTGTTAAATTTCTTTTCTGTTTGGAGTTTGAACATTGTGGTTGAGTGCCGAATTACAATCCATTGAGGGTGTTGCCTTGAGGGCCCAGGTTCTCAACAGCTTCATTTGTTATATATATGAGTTAACTAAGGGTGTTCCCATCTTTTTGAAAACAGAGAAGGGTTCTTTTTCTTAGTGTTATTTTCAGAGAGGCTTTTATTTAACTGCTTCGAGGCTGTTAAATCCTTGCATCTTTCTGTTCAGTTTTTCTACCCCTAAAAAGTTGTTAGATTTGTTGTTTCCTTAACTGGAATTAATTTGTGCATCTGATTTAAACTTGAAAAATTGTAATTGCCTTTTTTATGCTTTGATTGTTCATGCAGTTTCATTCAACTTGATTTGGGCCACCTAAAGGTGACAAATGAAATAAATTGGCATGGAAGCTCAGAGAAGGATCCTTCAGCTGTCCATATTGATGTTCTTCATGCTGAGGTAGATCTTTCCAGGACTTTTTTTGGAATTTCATTATTCTAATTAAGAATTCTAGTTGACTTCAGGTTATATTTGCAGATTATGGGGATCAACATGTCTGTAGGAATCAATGGTTCTGTCGGTAAACCAATGATACAGGATGGGCAAGGACTTGATATTTTTGTTCGTCGGAGTTTGAGGGATGTTTTCAGGAAAGTCCCAACATTTTCTCTCGAAGTTAAGGTATTTTATGTGATTGAAAATTTTTGCAATCTGTAATTATATACTTCTGAATTTCAAATTGAAGGAATTTTAATCGCACCTTTGGTGGGTGGTGCTGATGTTTGTGATGGTTGTGTGCTTGAAAATTAGGAGCTGCATGATGGTCTTATTATATATGAATGAACTTTATTGTTCCTTCCTTTGTCCGTAGTAATTTTAATTTTTTTTGGACTAGAGTCTAGACAGTTTTCTTTTCTAATTTAGAAAGATTTGGTTTGCTTAATTGTTTTGGGCTTTCTTTTGAGCAGGTGGGTTCATTGCATGGTGTGATGTCTGACAAAGAATATGATGTTATTTTAAATTGTACATTTATGAATTTAAATGAAGCACCCAATCTTCCTCCAAGTTTTCGTGGCAGCAAGTCTGATTCCAATGACACAATGCGCTTGTTGGTCCATAAGTTCAATTTGAATAGTCAGATGCTACTGTCCCATAGTGTTACCATAATAGCAGTTGAAGTTGACTATGCCCTCTTGGAGCTGTGCACTGGCATTATTGAGGAGTCACCTTTAGCTCATGTTGCTGTGAGTATCTTTGTTTGTTCTAGCTCAGTTGTTATTGCTTTTGGTCAATGTTACGATTTAAATCACAACTAACTAGCTTATTTTTGGTCACTATTACATATTTAAATTACAAATAACTAGCTTATTTAATTTGCTTTTTATTTCAAATAATTTTTCTTCTTAAATGAGAATGACACTGTTTATTTAAAGTATTATTTGGGTTTACTTATATTTTTATCTCTTAACTCTTTCAGCTGGAAGGACTTTGGGTGTCATATCGGATGACTTCATCATCTGAAATAGATCTCTATGTTACAATTCCTAAGTTTTCAATCATGGACATTCGCCCTAGTACAAAACCTGAAATGCGTCTGATGCTTGGATCATCCACTGATGCTTCCAAGCAACCTTCTAGCGGAAAATCACCCCTTTTCTTAAATGAGGGAAGTTTTAAGAGACCAAATTCTGAAGTCGGCCTGGACATAGATGTACCTGTTTCGACAATGTTCTTGATGGACTACAGATGGCGAGCATCCTCTCAGTCATATGTGGTTTGGGTTCAGCAGCCTCGTGTCCTGGTTGTTCCAGATTTCCTACTCGCTATTGGTGAGTTTTTTGTGCCAGCTTTGGGAGCAATAATTGGAAGAGATGAAACAATGGATCCTAAGAATGACCCTATAAGTAGAAACAATAGCATAGTACTCTCTGGACCTGTTTACACGCAGAGTGAAGATGTGGTGCATTTGTCTCCTGGTAGACAGTTAATCGCTGATGCTGTTGGTGTGGATGAATATACATATGATGGTTGTGGAAAGATTATCTGTTTAAGTGAAGAGAAACATATGAAGGATTTCCAGTTAGCAAAATATTGACCAATTATAATCATTGGACGTGGCAAGAGATTGCGGTTTGTAAATGTCAAAATTGAGGCACGCATTCGTTCTTCTTTCTGAGTTTGTTTATATTGTTTCTTGCTGTTGGCTTATATCTTTATAAATTGTTTGGACAATATCTTCGTCTGCTCTTATCTTCACCCATATATTCTAGATTTTTTTTTTCTTTTTTTTCCAAAACAAGATCACCTATTTTTTATCCATACTTAAACTGGCATTAGCAACATTTCCTTAGTACTAGTTGTATTTTCTGGCTATCTAACTGTTTGTATTTTTATTTGTGATATTTTTCTGTCAGAATGGTTCCCTTATAAGGAGGTATACCTACTTGAGTAATGATAGCAGCTACTCGGTTGCAGTAGAAAATGGTGTTGACATCTTGGTTCTGGATAATGTGTCATCTGATGATGACAAGAAGGATCTGGATCACATGCATGAATTTTCTGATACCTCTAATGTGTCTTCACATTCCCAAAGTGTTAGCAAAAGAGTGCATTTGTAAGTTTTGAGAACAGAACTGAGTTAGTTTGTAATAATAGAAATCTCCTATACGGTGCATTTTGAGCACTCTAACTACAAAAGTGTTTCTCTCCTGTAAAAAACTTTTCACTTAATAAAAATTCCCAGTTTTTTCGTGTTTATGTCTGATACTTTCCTCTCTACTGTTCCTTAATTTGTTTCTTTAATTCAAGAAAAATCTTCATGGTATCAGAGCTGTAGACCAACGTCCATGGCTAATCCGAGTCCTAAACTGTCAAATTCAACTCCAAGACCAGAGATTGAACAAGATCAGAGCACAAACGTGCTGAGTTCAGCTCTTCACTCAACACTTCTGATGAGCTCAGTGAAGCTATCGGAGAAGAATTATAGCTACTGGCGATCGCAAATTCTTCCAGCATTGATATCTCACGATCTTGATGGATTTGTTACTGGTGAGAATCTATGTCCTCCTATGTTTCATTTTGATAAATCAGGAGAATCAAATGAGTTGACTAAGAAACCAAACCCTAGGTATTTCATTTGGAAAAAGACAGACCAATTCCTAGTAAGCTGGTTGTTCTCAGCTATATCAGAGTCCATGTTTAGACATGTTGCTAAGTGTACTAGTGCCTATGAGATCTGGAATACCTTAGAACTTCATTTTCAGTCTTTCTCAAAAGCAAGAACATTGCACTTAAGAAATCTGTTACAGACTACTAAGAAAGAGTCTTTGAGTATTAATGACTATATTTTGAAGATGAAAGAATTAGGTGATGAGCTAACAACAAATGGAGTCAAAATTGGTGATGAAGAGTTGCTGCTGTACATATTAGATGGTCTAGGTCCTGAATACGATGCTGTAGTTGCAAATTTGACATTTAATAGTAGTACTGCAACTCTTCAAGAAGCTCAATTTGTGTTACATAAGCATGAAATGAGACTTGAAAGACAGAACAATGCCCTGTTAAGCTTTCATGAACAGTTAAGGTCTACTCTAATAGCCACTAAACAAGGACCTATTGACTCTGTAACTTCACAAAATTCAGGAGCTGGTTTTCAACATGCCTCACATATGTTGAAACCAGGAGTACTAAATAGTCAGTCCCCCGAAATGATCTTTCAACAAGGACAAAATGTCTTAGCCAATGTACCTTCACAAGCTGTCTTTGGGGCTTTTGATCTTGGTAATGCTGGATATTCAGGAAGTGGTACTAACAGGTTGTCTTATCCAAATGGTTCTCAGTTTATGCCTACTGGTTTTAATCAATTTAATAACAATATAATGAGAGGAAGAGGGAGAGGCCGAGGCTACTTCAAGCCTAAATTGATCTGTCAGGTTTGTGGCAAGATAGGTCACTCTGCCCTGCAATGCTACCATAGATTTGATCAAGATTTTCAGGGTTTCAACTACAATCACTCAGTTCAGGCCTCTACTTATAATCCTTCTGTTTCCTCTCAAACTAACCTTGCTGGTGTTCCTGATGGCTTTGTTCAGGCATTGTTTGCTGGTTAGTTTGTTCCTAACACTGGCTTGCATCCCAATTATGGCTTCCATAACTCAGTTCTGGGCTTACATGATTAGTCAGCTACCTAGGATCACAGATGCCTCAATATCCTACTGCAAACTTTCAAACTCCTGATTATAGACATAGAATGAGTCCACAACCTCAACCTACCACTGTAGGAGTAGTTGGAGCTAATCCTACCAAGGCTGAAACTGGAATACTGTCATCCTCAGGCACTTCCTACCAAGCTGTAGCTACTCCACAAACTGTACATGATCAGTCTTGGTATATGGATTCTGGAGCATCTAACCACATGACAACAGATGCTTCCAATCTGATGCACAAGTCTAGTTATCCAGGGAACTCTAAAGTTCAAGTTGGCAATGGGGATGCTATTCCTATCACTCACACAGGTATGTTACTTGTTCCTTCACATGCCTCACAAAGAATACTTCAACTTAAGAATATTTTATGTGTTTCGAAAATTGCAAAGAATCTAGTTAGTATTTCTCAAATTACCAAGGATAATAATGTCATAGTTGAATTTCATTTTGATCATTGCTTGGTAAAGGATAAGAGCAGCAAAGCTGTCTTGTTGCAAGGCTCAGTGAAAGGTGGCCTGTATCAACTGGAATTATCAAGCAATGTCTCTCCTTATGCATCATCCATTCCTTCTGCTTCACATCATGTAACTGGGAATGTGGTTCATGAAGCTAATGTTTCTACTTCAGATAGTATTACTAATGTTGTTCATGGGAATTCTGATGTTAAGACTAATAATGTACCTTCAGATTCTGCATTGTTGTGGCATGCCCGATTAGGACATCCAAATGTTAAAACTCTTCAGTATGTTTTGAATAAGTTGCATGTAAAACAATCTGCTGCTAGTAATAAAAGTTCCTTTTGTGAGGCTTGTCAATTTGGAAAATTGAAGCAATGTAGTTTTCCTATTTCATCCTCAAGAGCTAGTTGTCCATTAGAATTGGTGCATTCTGATCTGTGGGGACCAGCCCTTGTTATGTCTAGAGAAGGGTATAGATACTATGTGATTTTTGTTGATGATTTTAGTAGATACACATGGATATATCCTTTGAAACTCAAGTCTGAAGCATATACTGTTTTTGTGCAATTTCATAAGTTTGTGGAAAGACAATTGGATATCAAATTAAAGTGCTTGCAAACTGATTGGGGTTGAGAGTTTAGGTCCTTTTCAAGTTATCTTCAGGAAAATGGAATCATGTTTAGACATCCTTGTCCCTACCTTCACCAACAAAATGGAAGAGTAGAGCGAAAACATAGGTCCATCACAGAATATGGGTTGTCAATATTAGCTCATGCCACTATGCCTTTAAATTTTTGGTGGTCAGCTTTTAGCACAGCAACCTTTCTCCTGAATAGGTTACCTTCAGCACCTCTTGAGTTTGAGTCACCATATTACACTTTGTTTCATAAAGAGCCTAAGTATACTGATTTTAAAGTATTTGGATATAGTTGATATCCATATCTCAGGCCATATCAAAGACACAAACTGTCATATCATACAGAAAAGTGTATTTTTCTGGGATACAGTCTTTCCCATAAAGGTTATTTATGCCTAGCGTCTTGTGGTCGATTATATATTGCTCAGCAGGTGAAATTTAATGAAACAAATTTTCCATTCAAGAATGAGAAGAATGAATCTGAAAATTCTGCAAATAATAGTGACAATTCTGTTCAGTCTTCTCTTGATAAATCCTGGTGCATTCCTACCTCTGTATTATCTTCAAGAATTGATCCTGGCACAACAGTATTATCTTCAAGAATTGATCCTGGCACAACAGTATTATCTTCAAGAATTGATCTTAGCACAGCCTCATTTGAGCTCACATTGAATGATACTCCTAACTTACCATCAGCAAGAGTAGCACACAACCTTAGTCCAACCAATGTAATCCCACACACTGATATTCAGGCCTCAAATAGATCTACATCTAGCTCCTCTACTCACACTCTATCCAGCTTTCCTGATGAGTTCACTAATCAAGAATGTGACCATCCTATCACCTCTATTGATCCTGATAGTCACCAGGAAGCTTTACTACCTTGTACAACCCAACAATCCACAAATACTCACCCTATGATTACTAGAGCTAAGGCTGATTACTCTGCAAAAGCTAAAGTTGATCCTGATTTTACTTATCAGGCTTTATTGACCACGAATACCATTCTTAGTGAACCAAAAAATATAACTGAAGCTCTACTTATACCTGAATGGAAGCAGGCTATGGAGAGTGAATACCAAGCTCTTTTGAAGAATCAGACTTGGGAATTAGTAACTTATAAAGAAGGTATGCATATAGTTGGAAGTAAATGGGTTTTCAGGACTACGTTAAACTCAGATGGGACTCTATAAAAATACAAAGCCAGGCTGGTAGCCAAAGACTTTCAACAGACACCTGGATTGGACTACTTTGACACTTTTTCTCGAGTTGTGAAGGCTGCAACAATTCAAATTATGATTTCTTTGGCAGTCCATCAAAGGTTGGCAAATTCAGCAACTTGATGTAAATAACGCATTCTTGAATGGAGAGCTATCAGAGAAAGTTTTTATGTTGCCCCCTGAAGGTTTCTCTCCTGCCTCTTCTTCTTTTAATTCAAGGCTGGTGTGCAAATTACATAAGGCTCTCTATGGTCTTAAGCAAGCTCCAAGAGCTTGGTTCGATAAACTGAAAAATGCATTATTAGAATGGGGATTTGTTAACACTACCGCAGATATTAGTTTGTTCTTTTACAAGAGAGAATCCCAAGTGATGTATCTTCTAGTATATGTGGATGACATCTTGGTGACAGGAAATGATAGTCATCTTATTTCACAGCTTATAGCTGATCTTAACAGCAAGTTTGCTCTAAAAACTTTGGGAGAAGTTCAGTATTTTCTTGGTTTTGAGGTTAAAAGAAATTCTTCTGGTTTACTGCTTACACAAACCAAGTATGCCCAGGAGCTTTTGTGTAAAGCTGGTATGGAGGATTCTAAACCATGTTCTACCCCTATGGCCACTGGTTTAAAACTTGGAAAAGAAGACAGTGAGCAATTTAATCAGCCTTCTCTTTACATGAGTATCATTGGGGGATTGCAATATTTGACTTTGTCTAGACCTGATTTGGCTTTCTCAGTGAATAAACTAAGTCAATTCTTGCAGAATCCTACTACAACTCACTGGACAGCCTGCAAAAGAGTGTTGCGGTATGTTAAAGGTACTTTATCCCATGGGATTCTCTTCACAAAAAGGAAACCATTTACTCTAGAAGCCTTTGTTGATGCTGACTGGGCAGGAGACACAATTGATAGAAAATCCACTAGTGCTTGTAGCGTTTTTCTTGGTGGTAATCTAATCCAATGGGCTTCAAGGAAACAAAAGGTTGTTTCTTTGTCATCAACAGAGGCGGAGTATAGGTCTCTTAGCCAAGCTGCAACTGAAGTAGTTTGGGTCCAGAATTTGTTTAAAGAACTTGATATTCACATTAAAAACAACTCTGTTATCTGGTGTGATAACATGAGTGCTGGTGCTTTGTCCTCAAACCCTGTTTTCCATGCAAGGACAAAGCACATTGAGATTGATGTCCATTATGTGAGGGAACTTGTTGCAAATAAAACATTAAATGTCCAATACATAGCTACTGAATATCAGATAGCTGACATTCTTACTAAAGCTCTTCCTAGCTCAAGGTTTGCTTTATTAAGAGAAAAATTGTGTGTTGCAGCTGAACTTCCTGAATCACTATCTGATTGATCAAGTAAACTGTGCAGACTGTAGTAGTTGCAAGAGCTGTGTGTGTAGACTGGCAGAATACATGACTGAAGCAGTAGTTGTTCTGTTTTCTGTAATCTGTAAAGAGTAGAATTGAGATGATTGTAAGCAAGAGTTTAAGTAATTCTAAATGGAAGTAAAATGTGCAGACTGCAGTAGTTTCAAGTAAAGTGTGTAGCCTGGCAGACTACACAACTGCAGCAGTAGTTTTTTTTTTTTTAATGATCTGTGCTGTTAGTAAAGTGTGCATGTTGATCTGTTCTGTTAGTAAAATGTGCAGGCTGGCAGACTACACAACTGTAGCATTATCGTGATCTATTTTTTTTTTTTTATTATTGTAATCTATTAAGAGTAAAAATTGAGATGGATGTAAGCAGGAGATGAAGTAGTTCTGAATGGAAGTGGTGCAGTTTAGTTCTGAATGGAATTGAATGGAATTGGTGCAGCTTAGTTCTGAATGGAATTGAATGGAATTGGTGCAACTTAGTTTTGAATGGAATTGAATGGAATTGGTGCAGCTTGCATTGGAAATGGTGCAGCTTGCAGGGAATGTGCAGCACAGGTGGTGTACAAGTGGTCCAGCTTAAGGGGAAATTTTAGACAAAGGATGTAATTGTAACGTGGTTTAGCTTAAAGGGAAATGTTAGGAAAAGAGTGTAGTTGTAAGTTTTGAGAGTTGAACTAAGTTAGTTTGTAATATTAGAAATCTCCTATACGGTGGGTTTTGAGCACTCTAACTACAAAAGTGTTTCTCTCCTGTAAAAAACTTTTCACTTAATAAAAATTCCCAGTTTTTTCGTGTTTATGTTTGATACTTTCCTCTCTACTGTTCCTTAGTTTGTTTCTTTAATTCAAGAAAAATCTTCATAAAGTGATTCAGATGTGATCCAAAGTTTAACTTTTGAAGCCCAGGTAGGTGAACTCTCATGGACGAATATTATTTGTTGCTAACCTATATTTTTAAGTAAAATAGGCTTATTTTCTGATACTGTTGTATCGGGTTAGACCATGGTTAAAAAAATTGTATAGATCAATAATAATTAAGTTCAAAGTGGGTAAAGTGATTTGGAAATATTTATTTGAACTATCAACCAATTATTTGTCGGTTTAGATTTTCAGAATGTGTTTTGTTCCATAGTTGCACATTGAAAAGAGAAAATAAACCTCATTTTCCTATTTGATTCACTTTGCAGGTCTTGCATGGTTTGAAAGGACACAAAAGTCCATTCAAGGCACTCATTGCTGCAGAGTACAATGGTGTGCAAGTCAAATTGGTCAATAATTTTAAGTTGGGTGTCACAAATAAGAGCCCTAAGTTTCTCAAATTGAACCCAATTGGGAAGGTAATGTGTAGATTACAATGTATAGTTGCTGTAGACAATGGGTTTTGTGAATTTCCTGATTTTGTTTTAACCTTTGAGCAATGATATTTGATTTTCAGGTTCCTGTGTTGGAGACTCCTGATGGTCTTGTATTTGAGAGCAATGCCATAGCACGTTATGGTTAGACCTCTCTCATTCAGTTACTCCCCTTTCCTTATTTGATAGGGCTCACACAAGGTGACTCTATCTTTATAATGAAACTCATGGTTTATATTGTTGTTTGCAGTTGCCCGCTCCAATGCTGGCAATTCTCTCCATGGTTCTTCTCTGATTGATTATGTAAGACACTTCTGTTAGTTTTGCACTGTGACTCTAATCTTTATTTTCTTTCCCTCAACCTTGAATGACTGTTATGGTTATCCATCTGCTTGTTTCATTAGGCCCATGTTGGTAGTGGATTGATTTTTCTACTCTGGAGATTGATGCTAATATCTTCATTTGGTTTGAACTGAGAATGGGAAGTGGTGTATACCTTCCACCAGTGAGTATTCTCCGTAATTTTTGTCATATTGTTGTCCTACTTGTCACATGTGAAAGTGTTTTTTTTTTTTTTTTAATCTCCAGAAATAATTAGGGCCCTTTTGGTACACAATTTTTTACTACTCTATTCCCTTTTCTATCCATAATACACAATTATTTCCTTATTCTCAAAATATTATTCTACTTTATTCAATTCTTTTTAAAACCCCTAGGTTTGTTAATTTAACTAAACACCCCTCAAATTTTTTTTTTTTTTTGGAAATTGAGAAAAACACCCTACCAACCCACATTTGCCAGATTCCTGCCACCACCGTCAGAAGGTGGTCGAAATTTGGTATAATGATGCATTACTGGCTGGATTTGGTCGGTAGTGTATTGATTTAGCCTTTTTCGGCCAGATCCACCATGGATCCAGTCGAAAAAGGCCATATCTACGGCCAAAAGATCTAGCCGTAGCCAGTCGTCATTGATGGCCATATCTTTGGCAGTCATTGACGATCAAATGCAGCCAGATTTGCCGTCAATGGCTAGATCTAGCTATAGATCTGACCTTTTTCAACCAGATACACCTTTTTCAACCAGATACACCGTGGATCTGTTCGGAAAAGGTCAGATCGGCACACGTCTGGCCAAATCCAACCTGTTGTGCGTCGATACGGCCACCCTCTGATAGTGGTGGTGGGCTGTCGGTATTTAATGCATGGGTCGGGATGTTTTTGTTAATTTTCAAAATTTTATTATAAGAGTGTTTTGTAAATAAACAAACCTAGGGGGTATTTCTGTTAATTTTCAAATCTTACATCGTAATAACCACTCAATTTTACCTTTTTTAAAATATTATTCTAAAAAGTATCAGAATAATGAACCAAGTGCACCCTTATTTCTTATGTGTTTAATTTAGTTTTTTAAATTGTGCCATTCTTTGTTCTCCCTCCCCCCTTTCTCTCTCTCTTATTTCTTATTGGAATTTTAGTTGACCATATTTCTTTTCCTTGGGTGCCATAAAATGTTTTATGGGCATGTTTTGTATTATTTTTGTCTCTTAAAAGTATCCAAGCGAAAAAACTTGGGCGTCGCTTTTTTTATTTTCGTCAGCAAAAACATTGTATGATGAATTATGTCGTCGCTAAGTTCGCCGCCAATTTGCTTCTCGCCATCTTGTGAGAGGATTAGAAATTTCGCGAAACTATTGGCAACCAATTTCATATTTCGTCGCTAATAGTTACCTTTGGCGACGAATTTTGAAATCGTCGCTAACAAAATTGTAGCTAAAAGCCCATTTTGTTGTAGTGTATCCTATCAAGATTAACCTTGGAACCTGTAATTTTAAGGGCATCAAAAGCTTAACTAGAATAGTGAATAGTTTAAAGAATTAAGTATCAAATAAATATGTTTTTGCATCACTGATCCTACCATGATTCTACAATATAAAGAAATTAAAAGTTGGCAAAATTTCTGATAAATTTTATGAAACTTCAGAAGAAAACTATTGAAGAGGTGTATGGTGAATTGTAAAACTAAATAGAGTCTGTTTCATGGAAAACTTTTAGTCATCAAAAAGTTGAAATATAGCTATGACATCCTCCAAGAAATTAACATCCGACGAACAGATGAAATTTTTAAGTGTATGTTTTAGTTGTTCTTACCTACAGACTAGAAGAGCTATACAAATGTTAAAAGCTTTTATTTAAATATTTTATATTGTTTGGTTGCAACACAAAAAGAGTTTACGAACAAGGCAAACTTAATGTAGATGGCATCGCAATTTTTTCTGTGTGCAGTCACTTGTTCGAGGCTTTCGCTTATTCTCACTGTTGCAATTAACAGTTGGACAGATAGACTTCAATTTGGAGGTTGAAGGTTGTATACAAGATGAAAAAAATGCCTAAATTGTTAGATTATGCTACAGGATATGAGAATAATCTTGTCTTTTCTAAAACTTGTAGGAGTGTAAAAGATACTTACAGAAACATCATTTGCCTTCTCGGAAGAAACTACTAAAACATTTAGATCTTAGCAAATTATTAACCTCTAGCAGAATTCTAAATTCGTCTCATTCACTAACTAATATAAGCTCAACTTTATTACCTGGTGTTGATGGAGCTGGTAAATTGCTCTGGTTAGTGCTCAAATTTTTTACTTCAGGTACAGCAACTTGAACTCTGGACTTGGAATTGATTATTTGTTGGAGGATTCCTGAATCAGATTCTGAAAAATAATGCAGGTTAGTTGGAGAGAAGACAAACTTGCTATTAGAAAGAAGATTCATAAACTTTAAATGAAGCATGCAAATGTACCAAGGAGTGATCGAATGGCAACGCGTGCAACTAGCTGTTTTGCTATCTTCTTGCTTCTGGCTTCTTCGCCTTTGTAAACTTTACCATCAAAAACCAGAGTAGACATGAAAATTGGACGCATCTGTTCTCCACCGGTCGTTGAATATTCAGGTATTTTCAGGTTCATTTTGATAGCATATTCAAATAGGATCAATTTGCAATATGTTGGATCCTAAAAAACATGAAGTGAACATAATTTATATGAATAAACAAGACTACCAGATCCTAGATGAGTTGATCTCTGAATCTATTTCTCTTAACATCTTAATAGAGTGTACAAGCACAAATATGTCTACTAAACCTTGGAGTAAAACTATCTAAAAGATAAACATGAAGTCCACCATCAATGCCCTTTTACATTAAGGAAAATTAATGTGAGGCAATATAAGCATATACAGAGCCAGAATTTTCAATTTTAAACGAAATCATGTTTTTAAAATTCAGACTCCCGTTCAATGACATCGAATTAGTATTAAAAGACAAAATTTTACATCAAGTGAGCTGAAAGTGCAGCAGAGCACCTAAATACGAGGTTTTCCTCCAACATTTCTGGTTTCAGTTATGTTCTCAAGAGCAACTTTTGTAGCATCCTACTCAGCTTCTTTTCGCTTCGGAAATGTTCCTCTAGATACATAATTTTTTTCATTTACCAGAACACATGATCTAAACTTTGGTACATGTGTACATCCTTCATTTCTAATTCGATATTCCGGTAGTGATATGCCTAATTTTTGTGTATATTTTTGCAATATGTTTTTATAAATCACTGGTCTGGGTAAACTTAAACAAATATAAAATAGATGGCTTTCTCAATATGAAATCTTGCATCAAAAATCAGAAATCACATGAAGGACCAAACTTATTGAGATATTTGGAAAAGTTACAATTTTTCTTAGGTTTACTTGGAAAGTCATCTATTTTATATTTGTTTAGGTTTACTTGGACTAGTGATGTATACAAACAGATTGCAAGAATATACACAAAAATTAGGCATATCACTGTCGGAATATCGAAATAGAAATGAAGGATTTACACATGCACCAAAGTTTAGGTCATGTGTTCTGTTAAATGGAAAAAATTATGTATCTAGAGGAACATTTGTGAAGCGAAAAGAAGCTGAGCAGGATGCTGCAAAAGTTGCTCTTGAGAACATAACTGAAACCAGAAATGTTAGAGGAAAACCTCGTATTCAGGTGCTCTGCTGAACTTTCAGCTCACTTGATGTAAAATTGTCTTTTAATATTAATTCAGTGTCATTGAACGGGAGTCTGAATTTTAAAAACATGATGTCGTTTAAACTTGAAAATTTTGGCTCTGTATATGCTTATATTGCCCCACATTAGTTTTCCTTAATGTGAAAGGGCATTGATGGTGGACTTCATGTTTATCTTTCAGATAGTTTTACTCCGAGGTTTAGTAGACATATTTATGCTTGTACACTCTATTAAGATGTTAAGAGAAATAGATTCAGAGATCAACTCATCTGGGATCTGGTAGTCTTGTTTATTCATATAAATTATGTTCACTTCATGTTTTTTAGGATCCAACATATTGTAAATATATCCTGTTTGACTATGCTGTCAAAATGTACCTGAAAATACCTGAATATTCAACGACTGGTGGGGAACAGATGCGTCCAGTTTTTGTGTCTACTCTGGATTTTGATGGTAAAGTTTACAAAGGCGAAGAAGCCAGAAGCAAGAAGATAGCAGAACAGCTAGCTGCACGCGTTGCTATTCGATCACTCCTTGATACATTTGCATGCTTCATTTAAAGTTTATGAATCTTCTTTCTAATAGCAAGTTCGTCTCCTCTTCAATAACTTGCATTATTTTTCAGAATCTGATTCAGGAATCCTCCAGCAAATAATCAATTCCAAGTCCAGAGTTTAAGTTGTTGTACCTGAAGTAAAGAATCCGAGCGCTAACCAGAGCAACTTACCAACTCCATCAACACCAGGTAATAAAGTTGAGCTTATATTAGTTAGCGAATGAGACAAATTTAGGATTCTACTGGAGGTTAATAATTTGCTAACATCTAAATGTTTCAATAGTTTCTTTCGGGAAGACAAATGATGTTTCTATAAGTATCTTTTACATTCTTACCGTAGATTAAGCAAACGCTCGAGATAGGTTTAGCGTTCTATGAAATCTAGATATAATTCCATCAAGCTTAAAAGACTTTGAACTAATAATCTTCATTTTGTTGGGTGCGGAAGCTTAATAGGGATAAGTAGGGAAATGTAGCCTGAGAAGGTATGTTTTACAACTTAGGGAATTCGATTTTCAATCAAGAAATTATAACTTGGGTAATAGATTCTATGATTTGGGTTAGCATATCTAGGTGAAATCAACACCCTAGCATTTTTTAGCATTGTTTAATTAGTTAAGTTGTTGGGTTTTGCTTTAATTTCATTATCATTCATTTATATTTTGTTAATTTGTATTTAGTTTGTTAATTTTCCATCAATCCAGTTATTGTTTCTCAATTAGGATTTAAACTAGAAAGATGGTACTTAGTAACACTATCTCGGGAACGATACTCACTTATCACTTTATTACTTTTGCGACTAGTGTACTGCTACACATTGCATCTTGAATTACAACCGCATCAAATGGTTGCCAAAAGCTTCAAACAAATTCATGTATTGACTTGAAGAAACCTTTTCACCGGTTGCCATGTAAATCCATTTGGATTATGCTTGCGATTGTAGCATAACATGATTATGAGATTTGGCAAATGGATGTCAAAACGGCTTGTTTTTGTTATTTTATTTCATTTTTGAGTATGAATTGAGTTGTTTAGTTAGGGTTTGATGTAACCTTGATACAATGATTCAAATTTATATGAATTAATTTACTTTGAGTTTTAATTTCATGATTGAGTGTTTATCTCTTTGCTTAATGACTTTTGGATGCTTGATCACCATTCAAATGTATGTTGTTCACAATGAGACTGAGAAGTAATTTGTGATTGTGCCTCTTGGGATAAATACAGTAGATTAAGCAAACGTTAGAGATAGATTTAGCGTTCTATGAAATCTAGATAGAATTCTATAAAGCTTAAAAGACTTTGAACTAATAATCTTCATTTTGTTGGGTGCGGAAGCTTAATAGGGATAAGTAGGGAAACGTAGCCTGAGAAGGTATGCTTTAAAACTTAGGGAATTCGATTTTCAATCAAGAAATTATAACTTGGGTAATAGATTCTATGATTTGGGTTAGCATATCTAGGTGAAATCAACACCCTAGCATTTTTTAGCATTGTTTAATTAGTTAAGTTGTTGGGTTTTGCTTTAATTTCATTATCATTCATTTATATTTTGTTAATTTGTATTTAGTTTGTTAATTTTCCATCAATCCAGTTTATTGTCTCTTCAATTAGGATTTAAACTAGAGAAATCGGTACTTAGTAACACTATCCTCGTGGGAACGATACTCACTTATCACTTTATTACTTTTTGCGACTAGTGCACTTGCTACACATTACATCTTGTAATTACAACCGCATCAAATGGTTGCCAAAAGTTTCAAACAAATTCATTATATTGACTATGAAGAAACCTTTTCACCGGTTGCCATGATTAAATCCATCCGGATTATGCTTGAGATTGTAGCATAACATGATTATGAGATTTGGCAAATGGATGTCAAAACGGCTTTCCTGAATGGAAACCTTGAACAGGATGTGTCTATGACACAACCTAATGGTTTCGTTTTTGATGGGAAAACTGAGAAGGTATGCAAGTTGCAAAGATCCATTTATGGACTCAACAAGCGTCAAGGAGCTGGAACATTCGTTTCATGAAGCCGTAAAAGAATTCAGTTTTATCAAGAATGAAGATGAGCCCTGTATTTGCAAGAAAGTGAGTGGGAGCATAGTGGCATTCCTAGTGTTGTATGTCGATGACATACTTTTAATTAGGAATGATATACCGAACTTGCAGTCAGTAAAGACTTGGTTATCCAAGTGCTTCTCCATGAAGGACTCATGAAAAGCAGCCTACATCATTGGAATTAAGATCTACCAAGATAGATCACGTAGGTTGCTTGGCCTAAGTCAGAGTACATACATTGACAAGGTACTGAAGAGATTCAGTATGGAAGAATTCAAGAAGGGATTTCTTCCGATGTCACATGGTGTTTATCTCTCTAAGGATATGTGTCCTAAAACACACGATGAGAGAGATGGAATGAAGAGGATCCCATATGCGTCAACAATTAGATCCATAATTTATGCCATGTTGTGTACTCAAATTGATATCTCATGTGCGTTAAGCACTTGTAGTAGATATCAATCAGATCCAGGTGAGCGTCACTAGATAGCTATTAAGAATATCCTTAAGTACCTAAAGAGGACTAAGGACATGTTCTTGGTTTATGGAGGGGAAGATGAGCTCACTGTAAGAGGAAAGAGTGATGCTAGTTTCCAAACGGATAAAGATAATTATCAATCGCAATCAGGGTTTGTATTTTGTCTCAATGGGGGTGAAGTGAGTTGGAAGAGCTCCAAGCAAAGCACTGTAGCTGACTTTACAATGGAGGCTGAGTATATTGCATTATCTGATGTAGTCTAGATTAAGAAGTTCATCATTGAACTTGGTGTGGTTTCCACAATTTGTTGATCCGATAGATGTCTATTGTGACAACAATAGAACAATCGCTCAAGCAAAGGAACTACGGTTTCACCAGAAGTCCAAACACAGACTCATACATTTTAATCTCATCAGAGAAATGGTTGAGAGGAAAGATGTACATATCAGTTAAGTGCATACTAATAACAATCTCGCGATCCACTGACGAAGCCTCTGTTGTAGCAGAAGCATGAAAAACACTTAAGGTCATTCGGTATTAAATATATGAATGATTGGCTATAGTGCAAGTGGGAGATTGTTAGAGTATGTGCCCTAGAGTCAGTCTATTATTGTGAGTTTGACTTTGCAATAACTGTTTATTCATCAATAAGAAAGGCATATCCTTCTATATCATGTAAATCATAGTTATATGTAATGATATATGTCCTTAGAATGGTAGAACCGTGATGAGGGTGTCAAGTGTTTTAAATCTTGATAGTGAGAACCCTATGATCACATATGGTGGCCATTCTAGAAATGTCCATAGCCCTAGTATTATTCTGATTAAGGACACAGATAATACGGTAAGGCTATCATAGCGTTGAACGACCTTGTGGAAAGGCAGTGATTGATCTCACTTGTTAAAGTTGTTGGCGGACAACCTGGTTTAACACATGGGTGCTTGCTGGAGGCAAGTTCATTGGACAGACCCACCAGAGGATTCCATATGCGTGGTAGCCCCAGTGTCTACGGAATAAATCCTCTAATGAATGGTGGTGCATGTGATCCATAGACTTGAGATCACCGGAGCACCTTGTGCATCGATTGGTGTAGTTTGACACTAGCCCAACGTAGTTTTATTCAGAGTTATCAATATAGTAGTGATTGGTTGCATTAAGGAGTGTATCGACAAAGGATTCATCACTCCTGGGTATTGGAGAAGTTATCTCATAATTCAGTAAATGGCAATGACACTAAATATGTGGCCACAGTGGGATTGAGTTGTTGCTCAATGTAATTTAATATTCCTGTCATTGGTCTATTAACTGAATACAAACATATCGAGGATATCTAAGGTTGACACTAATTATGTACCTCAGTTTCGATAAGATGACAGTTGATGAAAGGATTTGATTGCACGATAACCATACCATTGACAGGCTGTAGTTTCACTGAATCCGAATCTATTGGGTGGCCATGATGCCTTGCATCTTGGTCTGCGTGTAGTGAGACGATTAATTGGTGTTAAGAGACTTGTTAAAATAGAGCCAATGCCAAAGACTCTTCCTTTTGGGTTATCACGAAAGTGGATGTTTCCTCCATTCTTTGGTTTCAATGAGATGAATATATACATACCTTTTGGTACCCAAATGGTCTTGGTCCGTGGGAGTTAGTTTCAACCATTCCCTTAGGAATCTAAACCCTTTTTACTACAAAAGGCTTGCCTTTCCTAATAGGACATTTCTGTGTGCTATGACCAACATACTTGCAAAAACCACATTTACTAAAAGATGCCTTTGGTTTAATGGATGGCTTATGCGTTTTGGTAAAAGGTTTTTCACTTGAAAACATGTTATAGCCTAAACCTTCTTTGTTAAAAGCACATCTTTGTGAAGCAAGCATTTCAACAAGTCTTTTGTTTCCTAAAGTGAGCTTACTCAAAATCCCTTTAGTATTTTCAAGCTCCTTTTTGAAACTAATTCTTTCATTTTGAAAATCCATACAAGATAATTTCAAACATCAATTTCTTTACTCAAGAGGATTTTATCACATGTTGCACAATCAAAATCATCTTTGAGTTGCTCATGTTCACTTAAAAGCTTTTCATGATCACTCAAAAGTTTTTCATGCTCATTTTTCAAAGTACTTGCTTTTTTCTTTAAAACATGATTTCTCAAAGACACTTTTTAATATTCTTCCATTAATGATTCAAAAGCACATTGTAATTCCATGAAACAATAGTGTATAGAGTCATTTACCTCAAATTCAGAGTCTCCTTTTGAATTGCATCCGTTGGCCATGAAGCAAATGTTGGCTTGCTCTTCATTTGACTCATTTTCATCGCTTGAGTCATCACTTCCACTCTATGTGGCTGCAAGAACCTTCTTCTTGTAGAATTTGTCCTTTTTGTCATTCTTCTTCCATTTGGCTTTGGGACAATCTTGATGAATATGGCCCGATTTCTTACACTCATGGCAAAT